TCTCCAAGGAGGCAGTTAGCAGGGTCCAAAAGATAAAGGCACAAACATTTCTGTGACTCCTTCATGGCTACTCAACATTTGGTCATGTGAGTGGAACGCTGTGTGTCCCCAGCGCGTCCCCAGGCCCTGACCTCAGTCAGGTTCTCCATGTCTGTTCATGAGGAAGAAGGAACCAAGACAGAGTCCAGTTTCTACCACAGTCCTGAGCCGGGAGGCTGAGTCCTGCTGGGCTCACCTGCGGGTACCTGCCTGCGGAGTTCTCTCTGCTGGCTGTGCTGTGAGCATTTGCCTGGAGATATCATCCTCTATCAAAGCTGCTACTCCCTGCCCCAGGGTACTTTTCTGTACAAGCTGCCACTTCTCTGACCAAGGGAGTTAAGTAGCTGGTGGGCAAAACCCTTCTTTCCCCTTAACCCAGGGAGAACCTGATTGAGCAGACTTGTGGGGACCCCAGGAGCTAGTTGATTCACTGGCAGCTAGAATAGAAGCAAAATAGATAGCACAACGGGTAGGGCGTTTGCCTTGCATGCGGCTGACCTGGGTTTGATTCCCAGCATCCCATATGGTCCCCTGAGCACCACTAGGAGTAGTTTCTGAGTGCATGAGGCAGGAGTAACTTCTGTGCATTGCTGGGTGTGACCCAAAAAGTAAAAGAAAAAAAACAGAATAGAATAGAATAGAATAGAATAGAATAGAATAGAATAGAAGCAGAGACACAATCAGGCAATTCAGATAATGTCCCAAGAAGGGGAGAAAAAGTCAGGAAACATGCTGACAGGGGGACCAAGCTCGGAGCTGTCTGACAGCAAAATCTGACACAAGGGGAGCCTGTGGCAGAAGCTGCAACTGGCCACCCTGATCTTCCGGGTCCAGTCCCAGTGGTCAACCTACGTCTCCTAGACAATGCTCCTTGGGATTCCCACCTGCCCCTGACACATTGCTGGCTGCAAACAAACAAACGCCAACTGTCTCAAGAGTACAGAAGCTCTGTTTAAGAGGGAGACCTGAAATCTTTTCCCCTTTTGCCAAGGTTGAGTCTTGGAGTCCATAGACCAACCATGCAATCCTCACCTCTGCCACTCACCAACTGCAATCTGCATGGGTCCTACCCTCACCGAAGTCTCAGAGTTGCAGGGCGATGTCCCTTTTCATGATACTGCCTACTCGGCCCAGCACTCCGTCTGTCATGCAGGGGGCTGGCAAAAGGGCACCTGTCGCTGCATATCCCCAAAAGGATGGGCAGGCAGGCTGTGTGACCTCACTGGCTCTGAGAATGCAGAGCTTGGACTGTGCTCCAGGCCCTCAGCTGAGTCCCTGAGAGACAGGATGAGAGGCTGCGGCAAGAGGTCTTGCTTCTGGGCTAGAAAAATGAGAACACTGACTCCTCCCTCCCAGGAAGTGGGATCCTTGCTGTTCCGCGGCTCCTTCACACTCACCCTCCCAGGATCGAGGCTCATCACCTCAATGTCAAGCTCTGTTTGCAAAACTAAGGGATAGGATCAGGAAGAGAGTAGTGGGGAGGGTGCTTGCCTTGGATGCAGCCAACCCGAATTTGATCCCTGGTATCCCCAGATGATGCCCCAAGCACCACATTTTAAGCCAGGTGTGCCTCCCCAAACAAAAACAAACAACAAAACGAAATAAAAATTTCCCAAGGAGGGGAACAAACATGAACTTCCATCACAAAACTGCCTTGAGTGACTTGCTCCATTCTTCGTACCGGTACTCAAGACCTCTGTGGTGCTCCAGTGACATGGGGACTGGTTGCCACACCCTGCGCTCCTCTCCAGGCAGGAGCTCTGTGCTCCTCTGTCCCTGGTTCCTCCTGCCTCCATTGTCACAGACCATCCAGCAGAGCTGGCTGGCAAACTGCCAGGGCCCAGGCAGGCACGAGCTTAGGCTCAGTCCCCAGGCCCTGGCTTGGCGACCCAAGGTTGCAGGATGAAAGGCCCCTGACCAAGGGCTCTCACCTCTCAGCCTTTCCGAGGAGCAGACCACCAAAGGTGCCAGGGAAGGCTTGCAGGCCCGCTTGCTAGAAGCACCGGTCGAGCCTCAGCCTTGGCTGGAGCACAGCCGATTTTTACATAACTTGTCCACTACAAAATGCCCATTCATAATGGCAGAGGCGAACAGGCATGAATTTCCATCACTTTATATGGTCTCTCTTGCAAAATCTGAGCACTATGCTGGCTGACTGCACTATGAAACACACCCCCCCACCAACACACACACACACACACTCACTCACGCATACCAGCCCAAGTGGTCACAGGTACATAAAAGGAAGAGGCGGCATCACCCCACTATGGGATCACAGTCATTAGACAGGAGGCAGAAAATGGGGGAGATGCTTTGTGACATGAGTAAGAGCAGCCTTCTCTGCTTTCACAGAAAACTAATAAACCCAGAACGCCCCCCACACACCCTATTTTCCACCCCAATTAACAGTGACCCATACCTAATAAAGTTGCTGGGATTGTAACGTTGGCGAGGTTCAGTCTAGTAAAGCACTTGGCAGGGCCAAACCTGGAAAACTATTGGCAAAGCCAGGGAAGGTAGGGGAGGCCCCCTCATCAGAATCCATTTCCAGCCGAGCACGGGGGTGGGGGGAGTAGGCGGCCATCCAGGCCCACCCAGCCTCCTTCTCTCACCTCGAGATCCCATCCCAAGTAACATTTACCTCTCAGCAAGAAAAGTGGGTCGGGCTGCTGGCGTGTCCAGACTTCTTTCCTTGACCCTGAAACCCATGTCCCCTCACTTGCGAATTCAGGGAATGATCTCAAAGCCCAGCAGACTTATTGGAGGGAATGGGACAACGGGCATACGGAATTGAGAGGCAAAAAATCTAAATCCAGGCCAGTATTTCTAGAGTTCTTAGCTAAAATCTGATAAGGACCAGAAAGAAAAACTACAAAATGCATTTCTCTCATCTGGTTTTGGGCCACACCCATAGTGCTCCGAGGCTACTCTTGGCAAGGTGCTTGGGGGCTGTTCCCTGGGGAGCTCAGAGGACCATGCATTGCCAGGGTTTAAACCTGGGATTCCCTGATGCAAAGTATGTGTTCCAGCCCTTCAAGTCATCTCCCAGAACCCACATTTAATATTTTCCTGCTAAAAGCTACTCTGACTTTATTTATTTATTTATTTATTGCTTTTTAGGTCACACCTGGTGACGCATAGGAGTTACTCCTTGCTCATGCACTCAGGTGTTCGGGGGACCATATGGGATGCTGGGAATTGAACCTGGGTCAGCCACGCGCAAGGCAAATGCCCTATCCGCTGTGCTATCGCTCCAGACCCTACTCTAACTTTGGACACTTGTCTAAAACTCAAGTTTCTGAACTTCTGTATTCAGTACCGAGATTTCAGTTTTTAATTTGACTCAAAAGAGAGGGGAAAAAAAGGAATGACTCCTCAGATTGGAGGGACATTTCAGGGATTAAGGTGCAAGCCTTGCATGCAGCTGACTCCCATTCAATCCCTGGCACCACATGGTCCTTTGAGCATCACCTGGTGTGGCCCTGGAGCTCCCAAGTATTGCTGGGTGTGGCTATGTGGTCTACAAGTACCATCAGGACTGAGGAGCACCCCACCCTTGCACTGGCCAAGCACTGGGAGGGTTCCTCTGGGTCTCCAGAGCACAGTTTGTAAGATTCACTCCCTCCCCCTCCAAAATAAATTTGAAATTCTCAAGAATATGTAAGCTGGTCATCCTCTTGAAGAAGAATAAGTTCTTTGGGGGAAGACAATAAAACAACATATACCCGGAAAGCCCTTCAGGCTGCCTGGAAGACTTGGCCTGAGAAAGACTGGCCTTCATCAAGCCTGTCCAAGGACTTCGATATGGGACTCTGCATTGCTGGGCTCTGCAGCAAGCCTGACAGGGCTTCGTGGGCACAGAGTCCAGGAAGCTTGTTCTGAGACTACAAAGGAGAGAGAAGTGTCTCATCTTTTGAACAGCAAAATAAACAGTTGTTGCAAAGTAGTAGAATTCTGTCAGATGAAATTCTATTTATCTTTTGAATCTACTTTATAAATAAGAAAACAGAGAACAGGTAGTTCTTCTAAAAGCACAGGCTTCTGAGGGCATCTCTCTCCCGTTGTCTTCTCTAATGGAATTCTAGATGCCATGGGCTCTCGCATTGATTCCAGGCAGATAGCAAAGACTCCATAAAAGCTTGCTGAAAGGATGAAGACTTCCATCCACACACACGTCATCACCCACATCTTCCCAGTGCTGTCCAAACTCATTTCGGGGGAGAATAAACATTCCTGTGCCATACTTTCTGCTGCCTCGCTCCTTTGGGGATACATTTTTTAATTCCAACCCGACTTACCCTGGCCCCGTGATGCACTTTCCTATTATTAACCAGGAGAACTCGTTGAGACGCTCCTCCACATTTTCTCTGGCAACTGAATTAAACTGACTTTGTATTGTTGGCTCTGATCCTCCTCCTATGATTTTCTCTGACTGCCCAATAATCCTGTCCCAAACATCAAAGGCCTTCTTTGAAGATAAGGCCAAATTCACCATTAGGAGAAGAGAAATGATCTTCCTCACTTTATTTCAGAAGATGGGATGACACAGAATCCCTCTGGGTTTTGTGGGATAAACACTGCCCGGTACAGCAGATCACAAGGCATTCACTGTAATACCCCTGACAGAGAAATAAACACAGGGCTTTCCTCACCCAGCCAGCGCTGGGCGCCTCAGCCATCTCAGACTTCAAATCCCAGCATGTCCAATAGGGTTCATCCCAGAAAAAGCAGGGTGAGGGAGTGGTATGCATGCAGCCACTCCTAAAACACGAGGTCACTCCAAGTTCTGACTAAAAGAGTATGTGAGCCAAACTGGAATGATTCCGTTTAGTCCGGAATCCAAAGCTAGACGCTTCCAGGACCAACAGATGAGACACCCTGACCTCCAGAAACAACATGAAATGTGAACAGCGTGACTAGCCCAACGGGCTAGAGGTGTCAGGGTAGGGAGGCTGCCTCACCTGATTCTTCTAGTCCTCTGCTGCTGCCCTCAGCTGGTGTGAAGGTTGACGGGGCTTCATGGGCACAGGGTCCAGGAATCTTACTCTGAGACTAGGAAAGAGAGAGACATGTCTCATCTTCTGAACAGCAAAATAAACAGTTGTTGCAAAGTAGTGGTGAAATTCTATCAGGTGAAATTCTATATTCCTTATGAATCTACTTTATAAATAAGGAAACAGAGAATAGGTAGTTCTTCTAAGAGCACAGACCTCTTAAGTCTCTACCTTCTGACTCCCGCTAGAAATGAAATGGACAAATCGACAAAAGACAATGAGTGCATTGAAAATAGCTTGTCAGATGTATGAAACCATTATCTTTGGATCCAATAGTCCACACTCATCAATATTCACCAAATATTTTCCGAGAGCACATTAAAGCAAGCCTCCTCCTACGATGCAAAGTGGGCTTACAAGGAAGAGATCTGGGATGGGGAGGCAGCAAACCAGGAATAGACCCAGCGAAACATCATTGGTCAGCTATTAAGGCGGGTCAGATTGGAGCAGAAGGCTCCTACTGGGGTTATATGATCGTGAGGTGGGACTGAGTCACACGTAAGAGGGCTGAGAAATCCGGGTTGTAAACGTAGACTGTTTTTAAGCTGGGAGGTAAGTCGTTTATGGGACTTAAACAGTATGGGTGGGGTGGCTGACAAGCAGACAGAGTGGAGACCAGCAGTGTGTCAGCAATAATTGCCAGGGGTGTAAAGAAGCACGGCAGCTATAGGAACGATGAGACCATGTGGACGGGGGGAATCGTGAAAGGACAGGCAGGAGAGACCAGACAAGCTTGGGAAAAGAATCTAACTCAATGTCACTGGAGATGCTGAGATCAATTAGTTGAGTTGGAATAAATGAAGTTTATAGGAAGAACCAGGTCTCCAAACCCAGACTCCTAGTCCTAAAGGGAATGCCTTTAGAGATGGTCGATTTAGTTAGTTTTGAAGCTGGGCCACACCCAGTGGTGTTCAGGGCTAACTCCTGGCTCTGCGCTCAGGGATCCTGGTAGGAAATCAGGGGACTAGATGTGGTGCTGATCAAACCCAGTCGTCCCCACGCAAGGCAAGCATCCCAGCCCCTGTAGTTCAGGCTGCCTGATGGAGTGACCTCCTGCACTGCATTCCACCTCTTCTCTCTACCTTACCACCCCGAAAGCTGGAAGTGGGGGGTCGGGGTGGGGGGGAAGGGAGGGGCACAAAGTTCTATTTAGGACGACTTTTCTGTAAATGATTTGGCCCCTTTTAATATAAGTGGTTGAATACATCTACTCTTGTGCATTCTGGTCCAAATAATGTAGAGATGGGACTGGGCTGGAAATACAGTTTCATCAGGCAGGTCACTTGCCTTGCATGCAGCCAACTCAAATTCAATCCCCGGTCCTCCATATGGTCCCCAGAGCCCCACTCATAGTGAACCTTGAGCACAGAGCCAGGAGGAGTAAGTTACGAGCACCAGTAGGTGTGACCCAAAGCATATCAAAAATCAAACAAATAACTGTAGAGAAACGTCAAGGCTTTCTGATCATAACTTACACTTTTATCGCACTGTATAAAGTATGTGTAAAGATGAGCAAGGCATATTTAGTATAGTATTAAATAGTAGATGGGATTGTGGGTAATGAAATAAAGCATTGTCTTATCCCTAGTAGATGCTCGTGCAATAAGTAAAATCTGGGAAGAGTGGGGATAGTTTGAGGAATCGAGCTTTGAGTAAAAACTTACTCTCCTGGGACAAGAAGGGGGCTTAGTTTGAAGGAAACAAAGTACCCATCAAATGTGTGGAACCTTTTGCTCAGGTGTCTAGTGTCAGGGATTATCATCCAGAAATAAGTGGAGAGCAAAAACCTGGTGAATTTCTGATCTTCTTTAGCCTTGCTGCACTTGTTTGAGAGATAAAGCAAAGAAAACTCCTACTCATTAGCCCTATCAGTGAGCAGTGCTGAAACGTGAACTTGGACTTCAGGAATCCTGTGGGACACCGTGACCACCTGGCTCATTTCTGTGCTTAACCCCTGGAAGTCCCTAGGGAAGTCAACTGAATTATTTCATGAGCAAAATTTCCTACTAGTTCGGCGGCCATAGAAACCACAGCGAAGTTACTGAGTAGCTGGGAGCCCAAACACTTGAAAGCACTTCAAAGGCAGGAAAATCTCTGGGCCCATTTGGAGGATGGAAAGGAACATAAATCACTCTCTTATCACAAGTTAGCCAACCAATTAACTGCCAAGTAGGGTCCCCACTGCTTCCTGCAGCCCCACCCCGCCTTCCCAGATGTGGGCAAGGAACCAACCACTCTGGCTTCCAGTAACCTCCTCTCCCAAGAAAAGCCAGGGCCTGTGGCCTGGACAACTTCTCCTGAGAAAAAGTCTTCTGAGATCTGAAAGCAGAGGACAGAGAATGCCTGGCATCTCAATCCTCGGATTCCATAGGTGTAAACGGCCTCCCGCCTTCTGAACCGCCAACCTCTAATAAATCTCTGTGAGCACTGGCAGACTCAGCGATATGCACACTGGAGCGACCTGATTTTTCATTTTCGTCTCTTCCTGTAAACTCATTCCCCAAAACTCATCTGGCAGGAAAATCATAATTCCACTGTTGTTTTCAACCCTACCTGTGTCCCACTGAACTTCAGGATTACCATGAGAACTGTCTGGGTTTCAATTACGAGACCATTAAAAAGTGCCAATTATAAGGCCTCAGAAACATTCCTGAGAAACCTGTTATGTCCCTCAAAATTGTCAAGTTCTTGTCTCTGACATATTAACTTCAGAAAACAAGTCATCCAGATGTTATGAGCACTCTGAAATGATCAGATCTCAGTATTTTCCAAACAACCCTTGAGAAAAGTTTGAGACTTAGTCCCTGGCTATAACCTAATAAGGGCTGGGGGTGGGGGGTAGGGGTGAGGTAAAAAAATCAGGGCTTGGGGCACCTGTGTAGGTTCCTGGTCTTGACATAATCAAAAAAATACTTGTACATTCAAGAATTTTTTTTTAAAAAAATATTCATGTCATGGCCAATGTATGCAAAGTCCTAGATAGTATAGGACAAGGTGACAAACGTCGGGTGGGTGTAGTACAAGGGCCTGAAAAACAAAATAAGCTTTCCCGCGGTCCAGTCAAAGAAGTAACTCTGGGTCACATTCTCCTGCGCGCCCATCTGAAGGGACGAGGAGGCGAAACACCGCGCCACACCCAGAAAGTGCCTGTTTAGGATCGCGGGCGTGCGGTTTGGGTATTCTTAGCTCCACTGCCACATCTCTGCAAGAACACAGCACCCTTCCGGGTCCCCCAAACAAACAACACAACCAATCCCCCGGGGCTCCCTCGACTCCTGCAGGTTTACTACTCCCCCTCCAAAATACCACCTGGAAGAGCCGAGGACCCTGTGCACCCCGAAAGCTCCTCGGGTCCTTCCACCCCCGAGCTGAGAAACTGTATCCGCGAGTTCCTTTACCTTTCACACAGCCCCTTCTCACTTCCAGCCCCTTCTCACTTGTTGCAGGTCAGCCCCTCTCTGTCCCCACAACTATTCTCACACCAACCCGCACAGTCACGCGCGCGTGTGCACACACACACACACACACACACACGGGCACCCCATTTAGACGCCCCCATTGCAGCTGGAATGATGCTTTTTCTGGGGCTGTTCTGCTCCCGGGGCTTTGAGCCCCCCATCCGATCAGCGCCTTCCTTTTCAAATGCCAATGAAGCCGAGCCTGGGGGGCCCGAGGGTTCTCCTCAACCCCCCAACCGCGCCCCCCACTCACACCCACACACAAACACGCGCTCCCCTCGTGGGCCGGACCCCCGGGCGCAGAGAAGCCAGAGCCCCCCGGGGCCAACCTCCTTGGGGGCAGTTGTGCGAGCCCCAGTTCTACCCGAGAAGCTTCCGGGACCCACGGGCCCGCGCCCTCCCCACCCCACCCTCCCGCCCCGAGCGCGCCCGCCCCCTCCAGCCCCCCGCAGCGGCCCGCGCGCCCCGCGCGCTCCCACCGGCCCCCGCCCGCTCGCCAGCCCCAGGCAACAAATAAACACAACTTTTTTTTTTTTCTTTAGGAAAAGAAAACAAACTTCTGCGACGTGACTCACCTCGGGTGCCGCGGACTCCTGACCGGGGCGAGCGGGGAGGGGTGGGGGCGGGCGCGGAGAGGCCCCCGCGCCCCCGGGCACGCACCCCGCACACTGACACCCCGGGACGCACCGCCCCGGGGCGCAACAAAGAAGCCGATCGGCGGCCGGCGCGGGGCGAGGACGGCGGGCCGGGGTGCCGGTGCGGGTGCGGGGGTGTGTGCACGGGTGTGTGCACGGGTGTGCGTGTGTGTCTGTGTGTGCGTGTGCGTGTGCGCGCGTGTGTGCGTGTGCGCGCGGCGCCTGACACCCGCGGCCCCGGGGCTCAGGGTCCCCGCGGCAGGAAGCGGGGCCCGCGGCGGCGGCGGCAGCAGGACGAGGCAGGGGACGGCGCGCCCGGAGCCCGCGGTCCCTCCATCGGGAAGAAGCTTTTTTGGATGACTGAACTCGCCAACAATCCCTCCTTTGGCTCCTGCAACCTCCCGGCCTCCCGGTGCCGCGCGGGGCGGAGGAGGAGGAGGAGGAGGAGGAGGAGGGAGGGGGTAGGGGGCCGGGGAGGCGGGGAGAAGGGGAGGAGCAAACTGGAGCGAAGGAAAAGTCTTGGAAAGGAAGCTGGAAAAAAAAAAGTCCCCCAAACTCCAGGGCAGTTTTTTTTCCCCCTCCCTAACACCCACTTTCTTTCTGCTGCGCCTTGGTTCCGCGCTCTTACCCAATCCCTTTCTTTCCCACCCGCAGAATATTGTTTTCAGCCTCCCTCCCTCCCTCCCTCGGGAGCCCCCCCCCCGCACCCCTATTTCCCTCGGGTTTCGCCTCGAGTTTCTCTTACACTTCGTCGGCTTTTCCCCAGACTCTTGTCTTCAAGCCTTTTTTGGACACCTCCTTCTCCGCTCATCTTCATTCTGCCAGCAAACAGCTATGGGACAAGTCATTCAAAGCAAACCTTCTGCTGTTAAACGCTTAACCCCACCCCCCTCGCACCCCGAAAAAAGTGGGGCAGCGGCCGTGGATACGTTGATGAGGAGTTCAGTGTCTGGGACGTCCCCACGCTGGCCCCTGGACCGACCCTGTGGGTTTCGGAGGGAGGGAATCAGTGTCTTGGACTGACAGCGCCCTGCCCTGACCTCCGTTCGCCATCCGGCCTTGGGGGCAGCCAGGGGTAGGGCGGCGGGGGAGGCGGGAGGGGGCAGTGACCCCCGAAGGACGGTTCCTTACCCGGTGTTAGTGTGTGGGGATGTTAAACCCTCCCTCCAGTGTGGAGCGGAGAACGCCAAGTCAAGAGCTGCCTTAGGACCCCTGCGAGGCTTAAGTCTGAGCTGAAAGGCTCAGATGGCAGGCCCCAGAGTGACAGAGCCGGTGGTCTGGGGCTGACCCCAGAATTTGCATCTCTAGTAGGTGTTTTGGAAGATCCGGGGGGCCTCGCTGTCAATGCCACTTTGCCTTGGATATTGATTGAGAAGCCAGACCTAAGCAGAGTTGGTGGAAATGGGGGTTCCCCTCCTTTTCTTAGGAATGAAACTGATGGTGAAGAATTATCCAGTCTGGTCCTTCAAATTGCAGCTGAGGAAACCAAGATGCAGAGGGTTAAGCCATTTGTTCCAAGTGAACCTTGAGTTTCTGCCAAAGCTGTAATGAAGCTGTCCTGAGTCCTGAGTCAGATTAGCCGACAACGGGGAGGAGCAAGGTGCTGTGGCCCTTTTCTGGTAAGACCACTGCTAGGAAATAGCTGAGTGTGACTTTGAAAAAGTCACTTAACCTTTCTGAATTTTGTGTTCCTTTGTCTCTCGCAGTAAAAACAACGCTTTATAAGGCATATAAGATGTTAATTGCATCTTAATTTTAAAAAATGTTACAAAAGGCAACAGAAGTGTACTTCACTTAAGAGAAACTTCCTTATCAAATGTTGCAGTCTTCTCTCACATAAAGTCATGTCACTAAAACGCTGCAAATATGACTCTGGTCCCAGTTAGCTGTGCCCTGTAGTCTGGAAGTGTACTGCACATGTTAACTTGCATAATCATACTCTTAGGAAGTTCACACTTAAAGCACAGAAACCCCTAGGACAGAAAGTCTTCCACCAGTAAACACACACGACTGAATTTGTCTATTCTCATTCATTTCATAGTTGAGGGAGGAACCTTATTGATGATCTGGATACTTTCATCTCTTCATGTATGCATTTTTGAGCATACCCTTTTGGTTGTGGGGATGCTGATTGGTGGTGATGGTGAGGGAGGGAACCCATCTGCTTTCAACCAGAAAGAGAAAAAGCAGGGCTGGGAATGCAGGTCAACATTAGAACACTTGTCTTGGGGCTGCAGTGATAGCACAGTGGGTAGGGTCTTTGCCTTGCCCGAAGCCAACCCGGGTTCAATCCCCAGCATCCCATATGGTCCCCTGAGCATGGCAGGGTATGACCCCCCAAAAAAGCAAAAAAAAACCCAAAAAACCAAAAGAACATTTGTCTCATGTGTGAGGCCCTGCATTAATTCTCAGCACTGCAGGGGGGTGGGGGGAGTAGAAAAAACTCTGAATTCTTTTTTTTTTTTTTGAGTGATGTATTCGCACGCTTTCCATCTTTACCTTTCCTTCACGTTTAATTTCCAACATTCTGATCCTCTCCAACATCTCTTTTTCTCCCCATTCAATAACCTTTTTGTCCTCCTCATGGGGCACAATTCAGGAGTTCTAAGACCTGGGGTCTATCTTGGTACAGAAATTTCTTTCCCCCAGGGAAGGGACAGAGCAGCCTTCCACTCTTGTGCCATGGTTCTTCTTCCCACAGCCCCAAGCAGAGTAACTCTCCACCTATCTTCAAAAATGACCTCGGGTACCACTCACCTGGCCATGTCAGGTTCCAACAGGAACACAATTCATAACATTTTTTGATAGATGCTTCTCTGTCCCTATATGTACAATTCATTGCTTAACGTTTTAACATTGTCCTTTAGACCTTTATATCATTTCTTTTAGAACTTTCTCCTACTATTTCCATTCCTCTCCCTTTGGCCTTTGGATCCACAAGTCCTGGGCCTCATTGAATGAACCAGAGCAAACAAAAACTGAAAATTTCAATCCTTCTAACTCTCTTTAGCCAGAAGAAGGGTCCTTGACTTTGAACCTTACTTCTCTCCCAGGCTGTGAACATGGATGTTCAGCTTACCCATAGAACTTATTGTTTTTTTTTTTAATTTGGGGGGCTTCCAAATCAAAAGGAGGCTTTCAGACCACTCTGGATAATTTTCTACCAACCTGTAGGTAGATGATGTAAAGATGAGAGACCCTTGCTGTGCCAGGGATCCGCTGGGCCACCCTCGCAGTACTTGGGGGCATCCAGATACAAATTGCACTTGGCAATGATCTGAGGACCATGTGATGCTGGGGTTCAAACCAGAGTCAGTTGCATGCAAAGAAAGTGCCTGACCCCAGTCCTATCTCTTTGCAGGCCCTCCATATAGTGAAACAGAACAGCTGATTTGAGAAGGCTTGATTCTACAGCATGGAGCGCACTGTGGGGACCTCAACTATGTTTATTATTTTTATGACTCTGCATTAACATAATTGTGTTTATTATTACTTCTTCTATAACGCTTTGGGTCACTGAACTCACCCTTCTGCATCCCTTTCCCTGCAGCAAGCTCCTTCCCAAATTCTCCTCCTAGTCTCTCTGTCAGTTTTCCTACTCTGGAGCTCATCAACACACTCTATGCATCCTTATCCCCAGCCCCACCCCTCTGACCCCTACTCAATACACACACACACACACACACACAAACACCTACGACCCCCAGCTATTTCAAAACAGAACCTGGGCTTCAGAAGGAGCTTTCTGCTATTCTATTCATGATGATTTCCCTCTAGTATCTGGTGGTATCTGGCTTTCTTTGGTGTGTGGGAGATCTGAACCTCCACCAAACAGGAAATATTTATTGGGGAAGTGATCATCACGTCTATTATTTTGAGGGAAGGGGGTGCAGAGATTCAATGACTATGTAAGTTAGCCATATCATGAATACTGAGCAGAGTAAACTGGAGGAAGCCCAGAGAGTGAGGTGAGTAGATGGAGGTCCCCTCCTGTGATGCGGTAGATCACTTCTCTTAGAGAACACTTAGCTTTAAAGACTCTCTGGAGAAGATTGTGCAGAAAAAAAGGACTGAAGAGATCAACTGTGAAAAACAGCAGTGTGATTGTCTCAGTTTGAATAGAAATCTGTTCTTATTATAAAATATGTTCCTTCAGGAAAATTTAGAAATCTCAGAAAAGAACAAAGGGAAAATCACCTTAAAACCACCAGAGATAACACTATTAACAAAAGATTTGTTCCTGGTTGTTTTTCTCCATAATTTTGGTTTTTTTTTTTTTCATTATCCAAATGCATAATTGAATTGAGTGATAGTAAGAAGATGTGTAAAAAGCAACATAAATAAGAAGCATATACAGGATTCAACATTCTATATTTTACGCATTTAGTAATCAAGGGGCTGGAGCTATAGCACAGCAGGTAGGGCATTTGCCTTGCACACAGCCGACATGGCCAACTCAGGTTTGATTCCTTTGCCCCTCTCGGAGAGCCTGGCAAGCTACCGAGAGTATCTCACCCGCACAGCAAAGTCTGGCAAGCTATTCGTGATGCATTCGATATGCCAAACATAGTAACAAGTCTCACAATGTTACTGGCCCGCTCGAGCAAAATAGATGAACAACAGGAGGACAGTGACAGTGACAGTGACAGTAATCAAGGCAGGATTCAATTTCCTCACTGATCTATCTGTTAATTTGATATTTTGCACAATTGTGTTCATTGTTTTTTATATAGATGTATCCTGCTTTTTAAATTTAACAATCTAATGTGATTATTTGTGACTTTTGAATGTTCACTTATTCCAGCAAGGGGAGATTGTTATTGCCATTCTTTTAATGTCATATATTTAGATATATTTAGATTGTTTCCATTTTTTATGATCATGAATTGCATCTGACTAAACATCTTGTCTTAAATCTTTATTTATAATTTTGATTATTTCCAAAGGGCAAAATCCCTTTGAGTAGGAGGCTTGGATCAACAGATATAACACTTGAAGAAACTTTTTTGGAGATTGCTATTGCAAAATTGTCCTCTACTGGTTCCAATGTACATTGCCATCTCTCAGATTTCAACAACAATGAGATCATCAAACACAGGGCCCCAAGTGGAGACTTTATTAAATTATCCAGCTCA